GGAGACTGTGACCTTCAAGTTGGGCTCTGACAGAAGCCTAAGAGTTTTCCAGAGGGAAAGATGGTGAAGAGACTTTTGGTAAGAGAAATAGTAGAGAATGGCAGAGGTAAGGAATGCTAACATGAGCTATAATAAAGTGCCATGCCAAGACCCCAGAACCTCCCAGCTACCACATCAAATCTTCTCACCCCTCTGAGGAAAGGAGGCCATTCTACACACAAGCAAATCAAGACATAGCGCTTGCATGATCTCCTCAGGTAAAGAAGCTTCCAGTGAAGGCAACTTGTCCCATCATTGAGTGAGTCTCTACAGTTTCTTCTAGAAGATCTACTGAGGTGTGAAGCGTAGGAGGGGAAAAAATCCATGAGTAGTAAGCTCAACACTAGTAGTTTGGTCTTCTTCCTGGGGGATGGAGTGCTTGGGTGGTCTGTGGTCAGCTCCTGCTGGGAAGACATGACGCTAAGCACGAGGAAAGAGGGCTCTTGGGCAACTACCATGGCATTTATGCCCAGACAGCTGTCTTGACATGAGATAGTCATGGGATGTCACACAATGAGCCTACAGAGATAAGGCAGGGCTACCGAGTCCCCCAACACCCTGTATTAGGACTCAGGGCAGGACAGTCAGGGGGGAGTCACTGATTGCTTGAGAGAGGAGAAGGGAGGCTCCACCCTGAATCCTAGGAAGATGTCTCTCACCATGATGGAGATACAGGACCTCACAGCCTGACAAAATGTGCCCCATGTTCTAGAAGATTCTCTGTGACTTCCTGATCTGATTGACTACATTGTGTATGTCGGGCACGTATGAGTGTATAAACACAATGCTAGGAGTCAAACCCAGGACCTTATGCATATCGGACAAATGCTCTAGACTGAGTTTTAGGTCAGCCCAGATCTGTATACATCTTCTAGAAAAGATTTGAACTGTTGCACAAATTTGAGGGGTCCTAAATATACTCCCCTCAACTCATTCCTCTAACTCATTCCTTTTCAGCTGCTCTCTCTTCCCCTTGCATCCACAAGATTCTCCAACGAATTCAAATGCCCCACCACTGCCTGATACCTAGCAGGGACTACCCATCATCCATCATGCATGTCCTGACCCCACCTCATCCTGTTTCTTGAGGCAAACTCCAAGATGGTCTCCCTGAGGGGAGTTCAGAGGAAGCCGATCTCATTGCTACAGCAAGACTGCATCCTGGGAGAGCCTGCTCACCCTCCGGTCCTCATCCTCAGTCTCTCTGGGTTCGAACCCACCCTGCATTTAGTTAATATTCCACCTTTTGGTGTTGACTCTCTGTCTTAAATTCACTTCTTCTACCCACAAAGGTTTATAAAATGGTAGAAAGCGAGCCTACCAATTCCTCCCCATTATTTGAAGCCAATTCCCTTCCCAGGGAAGTGTTCACAGGAGAGATACCAAAACACAGCCATGTACATGGAAGTGTTCACAGGAGAGATGCCAAAACACGGCTATGTACGCGGAAGTGTTCACAGGAGAGATACAAAAACACGGCCATGTACGCGGAAGTGTTCACAGGAGAGATGCCAAAACACGGCCATGTGCGCGGAGCGAGGGGAACTTGACAAGCTAGACTTCTCTAGGGGAAAATGCAAACTGATCAAACGCACCGGTGCTGTCCGTTGGTGTGGATGTTTTCACATAGCCCAGCTGGACCCCAACTACCTGAACTTCAGAGGTGTCTGATCAGAAAAATGGGGTAGGCTACTAAACACTGAAATTTTTGTCTTCAGGAGAATAAAGTCACATGGAGCAGAGGGTAAAGAAAGATGCCCAGTTCCAGCACAGACTGAGGGCCTGACTTCTGAGCAGCTTGTTTTTAAGACAGAGGCTGTAGGCAGCAACCGTCTCCATGACAACCACATGCTCAGGCTCCTGCAGACCACAAAGAAGCAGGTGGGGGAAGATGCATTTCCCCGATTCCTCGTGGAAAATAAAAAAACTTGCACCTTTGGAGGAGGACTCGGGAACACCAGCAGGGACATAACTATACCAAGCAACCCTCATCCCACACTGGGCACAGGTGGCTCTATTGTAGAGTGAGGCTGTGGATGAAAGACTCCATGTTAGCCCAGGGTAATCTGCCAGCCTGCTGACAAGCCTACGTCTAAACCCCTGTAACCTCACAAAGCATGGGGAACACAATGGGGTACCTCTGGGTCAGTAGCTGGAGATCCTTAGGTTACAGATGGGTGCCTAAGCAAAACCTACTGTGGTGGTTTTGAGCAGTTGATTCACAGCTGGTGATGTTGTTTAGGGAGGTTCAGGAGGTATCGTCCTGCTGGAGAAATTACAGGCCGGCTTTGAGATTAAAATGCCCTCGCCACTTCTAGCTTGCTCTCTCTGGTGTGTGTGTGTGTGTGTGTGTGTGTGTGCATGCGTGTGTGTGTGTGTGGTCTAAGATGTGGGCCCTCAGCTCTCTCTGCTCCTGTCACCATGCCCGCAGCAAGTTACTGTTGATCATGGTGCTTCATCACACAATGGAAAAGTAGTTAATACCTTTACCAGGATTACCGCAGGATTGAAATCCCTTGATGCCGAGGGCAGCCATGGGGCTTGCTTCTCCTGCACCCAGAGTGGTCCAGTTATCTGCCCCGAGACTCTGAACCAAATCCCTTTAGGAGCAACTGTAACTCGGTGAGTGACTTTTACTTTCCACTCTCACTAGAACGACACCCATAGCCAGGACAGTTCCTTCGTAGTTTAATGCTCTCACACACTGGTTAAGACATGCTGCAGGATTCCCTGGAGTTGTGCACAAGTCTGCAGATGGTTAGTACCAGACTGAAGGATGTAGCTAGCACCTTTGATTTGACAAACAGCCAAACACACGTGATATTTTCATGAGATACAGTAGAAATAATGTCATATGAGCATACATCCTGCAGAGTAAGCATGTGGAAATCCCACTTGGAAAGCTTGATAGTTCCACACTGAACTAGAGAAAACTCTGAGCATTGTCTAACTCTTCTTTAGGGTCAACAGGAGCATAATGTGTGCAAAGACTGTTTTCTTAAGCCAGTTGAGACATAAAATGGAACTATGAACATGTGGACACATTCATTAGTGTGGACTGTCAGACAGACTAGGCTAACTTGGTCTTACAGGGAATTTTAAATTTCATTTACTTCTTTTATTCAGGTTCCTTACTTCAGTTGAAGGTAAGGGCCTGGGACTTAACGTCCACAGTCTGTGTGCTCTCATAGATTTTATTTTTTGCAAATCCCTAAAGAGAGGATGGACCCTTCCTCCTGGTGGTTTCAGCCATGGCAAGCACCTTGGTCATCAGGGTGAAATGGAAGTGGAATGCTCTTGCTAACAGAGAAATGCTCAACTTTCCACCCATTGGCCATTTTCATTATGTAAATTCGTCTCATCCACGCTCTGCTTTCGAAACCCTGATGAGAGCCCTGTGAGGTCAGGGTGGGTTTAAGTAACAGGCAGCCTTTATTCCTCTGCTCTCTGCTATCATTGTGCAGGGTGTGAATAGCCAGCCAGACCAAATAAAAATAAACACGTCTGGCTTAATGCTTTGGTCATTCCTCTAAATATTCATTCACCGGCCCCCACCGAGGGTCCCTCCTCCAGTGCGAAGCGTACGGTCGATGAAAAAGCTGAAAAGCTAATTACAAGTGCTAGCGCGCCTTCCACTCTCCCAGCACATCTCCTCTGAGCACAGACGCTGCCGGTTCAAGGAGGGGTGGAGTGCTCGCAGAGATGACCGCTGGAAGTCGGACCAATGCCTGCACACTCCGCAATGCCCAAACTAGAACACTGGCTTCTTCCTAATGGAAAGGCTAAATCTAATACTATGTCTTAATAGAGAGAGCTCCACATATCCTATGCCTTATGCGTTGTCAGTAATTCCTATTTTTCTATACACTGATGAAAAAAGTCTTGTCAGTGGTTTGATAATCGACAGATACCCCAAAGAATCTAGTATCCTAGAGAGATTTCTCGATGCTTTTAATGCAGAAAGAAGACACATGCTCATAGATGTTCATTTTGATGGCCAGGTGGAGTCAGCTATCAATGACCTACAATATGGAAATTGCTAGAGGCTTGAATATTACTGATAATGCTTGTAAAGACTGTGAAGAAAATAACTTTGATAAAATAGTTGGTGCCAAGGCCTATACAAGCTGTATATGCAGATGATGACGTTATGTAAGATTTTTAAAAGCGAAGTATATCATGCATAGAAAAAGCTAGACTTGAGCAAACACACAGAAGTGTGAGCAATGATTACATGAGGGGTGGGGGATTGTTTATGTACATTTACACTGTCTAATTCCCCACCATATCCATTTGCTATTTTTAATGGGGAATAATGGGAGCAGAGGAGGGGCACACCCAGCAAAAACAAAATGAGCGAGGACGCCTCTCGAGGGTTCCTCTTGGGTGACTTTTCACACTAGTAAGAACAGTGATCCCTTCAGCAGGAGTTCAGGAGCCCAAGAGAACGGCACTGCCTCAGTGGTCCTCCTTTGACACGTGAGAAAGGAGAAGTTGCCCTAGGGTGTTTTAGAATCTGGCCTGACTGGGGGCGGGGGGAGAACTTTTTAACAGTATGTCAATGAGTTCATCATACAATGCATAAAAGGGGAAAATAGGAAGTAACAGCACAGGTATAAAGTCAGGGTCAGGATCGTTGTCACGGGAGATGCACGGGACAAAGGCGGCCAAGTTCAAGGGACAAAGAAGATGTGCAAACACTTGAACACTCGACGTCAGCACAGGGCTCCGAGATGCAGAACACGCAGGGACCCTCGTGGAGGAACATGTGATCCTTTACAGCCTCTTCGTGGACAAAGTCCTCCATACACTTTGCTCCCTGATTTCTGCCCTCAAGGGTGACTACGAGTCATTGGCTCTGTGCTCAGGAACCTGAAAACTCTCCTTCAGAAGTCAATAGCGTACTGTCCATCAGTGTCCCATGAGCCTCCCAATCCAGATGGCTGATTTTACCTGTGAAAACAAGAAAATGGTGAACTCCGAGTAAGTTCCACACCTCCACTTGCTGATAGCCAGGCTTGTTTCAAAATTATGCTGGGAAGAGGTCTGAGTATGCCACCATAACCAAGAGTCTGGGAGTCTGCCTGGGTGAGCCCTGTGAGGTCCACTGAGCAAGCCCCAACTCACCCAAGTGAAGTCTCAGAGAACCAGTAAGGACTTTCTTTGCTCAGCGGTTGCTCCATGAAATCAAAAATATAGAATAATCAAGTTGAAAACCAAAACATTGATCAAACTGCAGTTTTCAAATGACTCTCAAAGGGTCATCAAAAGCTTCCTTTTTCAGAAAGAAAATGAAACGATGCAACCAGGAGCCTGTTCTCTAGAAAACAGGCCGTCTCCAAGGATGCCCAACCCCCTCCCCACCCCGTGGTTCTGGGAGAGGCTGCCTGCTCCCGAGGTACAAAGTACAGAAGGCAAATGTCGAGTCTTGCTCTGGAGTCTTACTTCCAGCCATGGTGTAGGAGAAAGAAAAAACAGGCACAAGGAATTGGACCAAAAACTGACACCAGGATGGAGATGGGAGGAGTGTTAAACACCCGTCTGCCTGCCCAACCCTGTACCAGCTCTCAGTCCTCCGAGGCTGACATTCTCTGCCTGTCATACCATCCGAGGGAAAGGCGATGACCCCAGCCCTCTAGAGAAAGCAGAACCAACCAAGAGAGACCAGAGTCTGAGACACTTAGGGCTGGCGGCCAGCAAAGCTTTTTCTTAAGGGTATGAACATCAAGAACTTATCTGGAAGTAAAAAGAATGCAAAGATCACATTTGACAAACTCATTGTCTCTAAAGATGTCACTGGGTGAAATTCACGGGACATATATTTTCTTCTGTGTGTGTGTCAGTGTATGTGTTAGTGTTTTTATTCTGTGTAAGTGTGCATGTTAATGCATGTTAACATGTGTTTGTGTGTTAGTCTGCTTCACAGTGTATGTCAGTGTGTTATTGTGTGTTAGTATATGTTAGTGTATCAGTGTACATGTTAGTGTGTGTGTTCATGTATGTTGGTGTGTCTCGGTAGGTGTATCAGCGTATATGGCTGTGTATGTGTCAGTGAATACTACTGTATTAGTATGTGTTAATATATGTTAGTGTACCAGTCTATGTGTTAGGTGTGTTAATGTATATGTTAGTGTGTGTTAGTGTGTGTGCCTCTGCATGTGGAACTTAGAGGACAGTCTCCAGTGTAGTTCCTCAGACGCTGCCCACCTTTTGAGACCACGTCTCTCACAGACCATAGACTACAGCTCTCTGATTTGGTCGGCCAGCAAACACAGAGATTCACCTGTCTCGGCCTCCCCAGTGATGGAGATACCTCCACCAGTGCCACGGCCACACCTGGCTTTGATACTTGTTTTCCTAGATTCTCTCTCCATCCTGCCTTTCTTTTTCACATGCATATACATGGTGCATACACTGTGTACACACAGTACATGGTGCATACATGCAAGAGTAAATATCACACCCTGAAAGTCATTTTTATTCAGCCTTTCATCAACTCTGCACATATTAACCAAGGCCAAAGCTAAGTGCAGGGTAGGTGGGTCAGAGGCCAGTCTGTCTGTCCATCTCACAGTCAAAAACCTGAAAGGAAGAGATCAGAGCTTTCTGGGCAGGTGAACTAGTATGGATTTGAATCCTTTGTGATTATTTCAACTCTTTAGTCACATTTAGATTTATTTTTATCATTTGAATTGTTTTGTCTGTTCCTTCCTGTTTTTCCAATTCATACATTAAGAAAAACTGTTTCAAAATCCAAAGTGCAGTTTATTTTAAACTTTAATTTTTTAAATTAAGCATCATCGTGAAGGTGTTGAAATGGGCTCCTCCTGAGTGCTCAAGGCTGAATTCTTCAGCACATTCAGGAGGTGCCACTCAGTTTCAGATTCTGTAAGGTGTGAGTCTTCCATGGAGGTCTGCAGATACGAGCTGGGACAGCCAGGGCTCAAAGAACACGGACGAACGGCCAAAGACCCCAGCGTTTCCCTGCAGCATGACCACCCTGCAGAGGAAAACTCTACAGTTCAGGTGCTTCCTGCAGGTAAGGATCAGCACAAAGGGCAGCACAGGAGGCCAGTGCCAAAGAACAGCACAAGGGATGAGCTCAAGGGGCCAGTGGGAGACAGTGCAGGTGGCCAGCGTGAAGAGTCAGTGCAAGTGGCCAGCGTGAGGGGTCAGTGCAAGGGTCAGTGTAAGGGGTCAGCATGAGGGGTCAGTGCAAAGGGTTAGTGTGAGGGGATCAGTGCAAGGGGTCAGTGCAAATGGTCAGTATGAGGGGGTCGGTGCTCGACATTGATGTGAGGGGTCAGCAATAGGGACCAGGGGAAGAGGTCAGTGCAAGAGGCCAGCACACATGGTCCTAACCCTTCTGCCACACTGCCAATACCAACGGAGAAGGGAATTCTTCACTGTGTTTCTATTCCTTACAGTTTACTTGTAGACCAATAGAATGCCCATAATTGTGCCCCTCTCTCCCCACCTCCCCATGCTCCCAAAATTTTCAACATTTGGTCTCAGGATTTGGACAGGTTCTGGGAAAATACGATTAAAACAAATGGCGAGATGCTGGAGCAAAGCCTTGAGTCCAATGTTGCCAATTAATTGAATTACACATTATTGTGCAAATGAGTTGTTGTTAAAACCCTCCCATGCCTCTTGGAACCTTTTCCGTTAACAGAAAGGGATCAGCATACATCTACCTACCCTACAGCAGTAGACATAAGAAACCGTAAGAATAAGGGACATTTTAAGCATGTTTCCACAAAAACATCTATGATGAAGTATTAAGGAAGAAAAAATAGCAAATATTAGGTCAGTATGACCTCATTTCAATATGTGAAGCTGGCTGTAAGGCTGGCAAATGTTACACAGACCCTGTAGGGAACTGTGCCCTGGAGCCGCCATCAGGGAGGGACGTGAGAAGGAAATAGACGGTGACTTACTTGGTTTGTTTGTACGATGTTTTATCATCAAAGCTGATAACATACGAAAAAAATGAGAAGACTACTACAGTTTTAAAATATCCTTAAAATGTTGATATTTTCAGAGCAAAGAAAAAAGACATCAGCCAACTCACCTTGTTGTAATCTGGTTTCTCTCCATGAGCACTCACCCGCCTTATTTGATTTTATTAGCAATCTCTTTCAGAAGACCTTTGAGATCGTTAAGCTTGGGAAGAGGGGAGAAACAAAACTCGGTCTTAAGACAGATTTCCACCATTCCATTTTAAATGCCAAGCACACTAACCAGTAAATGAGACACAGGAAGACAGGGCAGACCCTGCTTATTGCTTACTTACGGTCAGCAGTTAGCAAAAATACCAACATCGGCCCCATGAAATGCAAGTCAAAAAGGGTTTCTTTCCTCCTAGACCCACAAAACTATGACAGCACAGAAGTAATGTATGCAAATGTATGCAAGATGTTACTAATAAGATACTAATGAAGTTTTGCTATACAAAAATATAACACTACTAAAAATTATAAAGATGCTAGTAATATATGACTGTATGCTTCCTAACACACACACACACACACACACACACACACACACACACACACACACAGAGTAAACTCCAAAATATAACTTACCTAAATGATTCATAAGATTATTCTGCATATCATATGAGGTCTGTGGCCTCATTTTAAGTCACGGGCCACCTTGATGTACTTTATATATGTGAATGGACAGGTTCTGATTTCTGTATAGTTGGCTCCTAGCTTGCTGGGTGACTTACTTGCTGGGGGAGCGGGGGAGAGAAACACGACAGATAATGCGTGTTGAAGGTGGGCCTGCTTCCAGTGAGAACCTCTTCCTTTAATTTAAAAAAAAGAACAAGAGAGCCCAAGATGGCTAACACGTGACGGCCTCAGCGAAACCAGCACAGCGAGAAGCCACTTCCAGGCTTCAGGTCAGCTGTGACTAACTTTGCTTTCAGTTATAATGAGATGGAAAGGCTTTTGCTCCCCCCAGGGGATTTTGTCACTAGTAAGACGGTATTAATAAGCCACTTTGAGGAGAGCACAAGACTCTAAGAGTAAAATAAGTGACACAGAGAAACAAAAAGAAAATAAGCAAAACTAAGAGTTAGTTCTGTGAAAAGATAAACAAAACCAACAAACCTCTAGCTAGACTGCAATCAAAGCTGTTTCTGTTGTAGCCACGTGCCGACTTAGAGAGCCAGGGGCTGCTCAGGCCTGGATTTTCCTTGGATGTGGGGAGAACACAGTCATAGAACTCCAGTGACTAGAGTGATGGGCAGACAGGTATAAAATGCACCTGGCTAGCCAAGGGCCACAAAGGCACCTGCAAGTCCATTCAAAACTCCTGCTCCAGGGACAGGCTGGTCACAGGTCATTAGACCACATGCCAGATAAAACAGGTGTCCCATGAAATAAGCACTTCCATCCAGTTCTCATCTGCCAGGAGGGCAGGTTGCAAGCCACTGTGGTACTGGAAACTCACTTAGCCAGGGTCTTCTCTAAATACATACAGCCCAACGAGACTGAATCAAGAATACAGAACCCAGGACTTACAAGATGGCTCAGCAGGTAAAGGCACCTACCACTAAGCGAGTTCGATCTCCCAGGCCTACACAGTTGAAGGAGAGAACCAAATCATAAGAGTTGTTCTATGACCTCTGCACCCACAGTGTGGCATACACACACACACGCACACGCACACACACTCATACACACACACACTCACACACACTCGCACAATGAAAATATAATAACTATTTTTAAAGACTACGAAGCTCAAACAAACTAGTAGCAAACAAGAAGAATCAACATCAAATGTTCCTAATGGAGAAAAGCTCAGGAACAGAGGTGGCTTCATGAATGAATACCATCCAACATTTAAAGGTGAGCAAACACCAATCCTATTTAGACCCTTCCACAAAGTAGAAGAGGGACTGCTTCCAGGCTCTATGCACGAGGCCAAGATTACCCTGGTCCCAAAGACTGATAAAGACAGAAAAGAGGACGACAGGCCAACATCCCAGTGAATAAAGATGCAAAAACATCAGTAAAAGGGAACTCAATTCAAGAACATGAAAATGACCATACACCACAACTAAATGCAATTTAACCCTGGGATATAAGGATGGTTCTGCATGCCAGGTAGTAGTGTCGCACGCCTTTAATCCTAGCACTCAGGAGACAAAGGCAGGTGGCTCTCTCTGAGTTCAAAGCCAGCCTGGTCTACAGAGTAAGTCCTGGGACAGCCTGGGCTACACAAGACAGAAACCCTGTCTTGAAAAACATACAAACAAGCAGAAGGAACGGTTGAGCATATGAAAACCAATGGGTGCAGTAAACTAAATGAATAAAACGGAAAACAGAGGCAACATGATCCATACACCAGATGCAGAAAAATGAGCACAAAACTCCAGATTTCTTTCACAATAAAAACTCAAGAAAATAAGGACTTATGTAGACACAACAAAGACTATGAAGGAAGAATACTATCACCATACTCAATATTCCATCATCTCTAATATCTTAAGACAAAACTGCTCACTCTCACCACTGTTATTCTAAATGGTGTTGAGAGCCATAGTCCATGTAATCAGGTAAGAAAAGGAAATAAAAACTATCTAGATCTGTATGCATAGGGTATTAAATAGTATCTTGTAACAAAGACTCCACCAAAAACTTTTCCTGGGAAAAAAATGGAATGAATTTGGTAAAATTGGTATTTCTGTTACAGAAAACAATACAGAAGTTCCTCAAAACATTAAAAAGAACCTAGCAAAAAACAAAAACAAAAACAAAAAACAAACAAAAAAAAAACCAACCTAGCTGCCCCACTCCTGGTACACAGCTAAAGAGCTGATGTCAGGAGGATGAGGCATCCTATGTTGTCCTGTTCACTGCGGCACTAGTCACAGACCCAGAAATAACCCAAGTAAAGTGTGGTTCATGGACACAGTGGAGAACAATTTCACCTTGAAGAAAGGAAGGAGATTCTACCATCTGCAGGAACACAGATGGTCAAGATGACACTGGGCTGAGTAAAATAAGCGAGGCACAGCCAGGTAACCCCCTCCCATGTGATCTCACTCGCATGTACAGCCTAAAAGAGGCAAAGGGTTTAGGGAAAGGAGGAATGCCAATGGATCTACACTGAAGTGAGAATGATTACTATTACACTGTATTCATGTGTTAATATCCACCTAGACATTAATATTGTCTATATACATGAGATGTGCTGAGATCACAGGTCTTAAATTGAATCCCAGGACACATACAGATAGTAACTATATAAGTATGTAAATTAGCTGGACTAGATTGTGGTGATAATTTTGCAATGTATGCATGAATCAAAATATCCAACTGTATACCTCAAATATATTGAATTTATGTCAATGATATCTCAATGGAGCTGTTTAGAAATAAAGTCAATTTAAAAGGAAAACAAAAATATGCTAAATGCTTGCTCTAGAAACAAAAGCTCAGAACACGGTCCCCAAAATTCTGTGAATGGAAAGGAGGGAATTTTGGTTGTTTGGAGTGGGAAGAAAGAGGACAGAGAAGGAGACAGAAAGGGAGGTAGAGGCAGCAAGGCAGCTCATGGGATGCGGGAGGCCCTGCAGTGTGTGGCTAGGGCTTCCAACACTGGATTGTGGTGATCATTTTGTGATGTATACATGTGTCAAAACGTCTGACTGTATACCTTAAATATATTCACAGTGGCAGAAGCTTGAGGGAGCTCATCACATCACATCCACAGTAAGAGCAGGGAGAAATGAGTACCTGAATATATAAACTCAGCTCATTTTTTCTATTCTTATACAGTCTAGAACCCAAACCAGGGTAATGGTGCCACCCACAGTGGGCTGGGTTTTCCTTCATTCACTAATGTAATTAAGACAACCCCTTACAGACATGCCCATAGGACTAACTGATCTAGATAGTCACTGAGACCCCAATTCCAAGGTGATTTTAGATTGTGTCAAGTTGACAGTTAAATCTACTGGAAGTGGCATTTCTGGGCTATTCTACATGAGGGCTGAGAGCTTAAGAAGTAATTCTGCTCCAGGCTCCAGCTCTTAGGTGCAGACAGCTAAACAGAACCATGTCTAACTTTTTAACAATGCATGTCTTCTTTTGTTGTCTGACTTTATACACCAGCCTGTGGCTGAACACTCCAAGATATCACACATAAATCATTCTGCAACTCTGAGCCATACCTTCGTATCCAGTTGTCTAAACCGATGCCTCATCCTGCAAGGAAATTAGAAAATAAACTAAGAGAAAGAGTCTGAGGGAGGCTCTTCAGCCCTCTTTTCATCTTTCAAAGGACAGAAGACAGATTATGTACAGTCTTTAGTTTGGGCTCGGGCCAGGGTCAGCTGCATTGATCTCTCTGATTTTCTTCCTCATCCCCAAGCAAAGCAGAATTCCTTTCTCACCCCAATTAGAAAGACAGAAAAGCCATGCTATGTCTGATGACAGGGTGGTAAAAGTTGACTCAGAAGATCTGCCTTCCTCCACATCCAAACTACAGAAGTCTAGAATACAGGCATCCATGCTGTCTCTAGAGAAAGAGCATCCTGTTCCCCTCATTGCTGGGTTGATTCTAACAAAGAGATTAGCTGTACTCATATTTACTCCTACTGGTTAGAGTACATTTTGAGGTGTGTTTAAGCACTTAGAAAAAGTGACAGCTGTCACTGAGGAAGGCCAACCTTAGGAGGAGGAGGCTTTCAAAGATCCCCTAACACACTACTTATATACCATCTGCAAGAAATTGAATGACTTGGGGGGTCATATGGGGATTTATAAAAAGCCCCCCACAATTTAAACGTGATAGTCCGCACTTTCTGGAGATGGCTTGCCACAAGCTTCCTCTGCCTCTGTGTCGTTCAGCATGGCAGACCAACGCGCCAGTGGTTCCTCAAGATAATGCAGGTACCCATGACCTCCGAGGCTTCCTGGGCTCATTTCTGCAGCTGTGGCTCCTGTTTCTGGGTTCTGTGGATGCCACTATCTATCCTTCTTCTCCCTCCTCATCTTCTTTTTGTTTGTTTGGAAGACAGAGTTTCTCTGCGTAGCCTTGGCTGTCTTGGAACTTGCTCTGTAGACCAGGCTAGCTTTGAACACAGAGATCTGCCTGCCTCTGCCTCCCGAGTGCTATGATTAAAGGTGTGCACCAGCATCCTGCTCAGCCATTAAAGGCTGGACTCACAACCAAAAATGTCTATCCTTCTACATTCAAGATTTCAGCACCTTGAACACAGGACACCTCACTGTCCCAAGAGAAAGATGTAACCTCCAAGCACCCCTTTCTGTCCCTTGCTCTTTAGGGACACAATCAGATTAACTGAGGTTTGACCTCTCCCTGTGGTGAGGGAGTTTCATATGTCTAAGTATTTGTCATCTACAATTGCCTCAGTAGTACTTTTGAGGCAGCCTGGCTCTCCAATGAAAACATGCGTTGCTGAGCATGCTCAGATAAGCTGCTTCTGTCCTTCCAGTTTACATAGACAAAGGGCGCCTTGCCACAGAAGTGAGTGACTGACATACTCCTCTGAGCTGTCATTGGCTTTCGTGTTGATCTTGACAAGGTAATTCTCCTTCATGACGCCCTCCCATGCCAAAGTCTCGTTGTCCTCATTTCGGAAACCTGAAGTAATGAGAAAAGGAAACCGTTCACTACCTTGTCTGCCTCCGTTTCCCAAACCAATGCCGTCCAGGCATCCGAGAGACTCTGGAATTAAGACAATTAGGTTTGTCTGCAGCAGCAGATCTGACTACCGTTTCTTACTAGTGACAGAAGCAGAGAGATGGGATACGAATGGATTTCTCAGTAAGAATGAGGGTGGGAGCTGCCTATGTGAACTATGAATGTGATCTTTGTTCTTTTTTTATTTTATAATTTAATTTAATTTTACATATCAGCCACGGATTCCCTTGTTCTCCCCCCTCCCGCCCCCCACCAGCCTTCCCCCCAGTCCACCTCCCCAACCCCCATTCCCATCTCCTCCAGGGCAAAGACTCCCCTGAGGATTGAGTTCAACTGGTAGATTCAGTCCAGGCAGGTCCAGTCCCCTCCTCCCAGGCTGAGCCAAGTGTCCCTGTATAAGCCCCAGGTTCCAAACAGCCAGCACATTCAGTGATCTTTATTCTAAATAGAGATCCATTTGAACCTCGTCTGTCTTTTGAGACCTCGATCACTCCACTAATGATTTGGGTGCCCACATTTGGTGAGGCCTACCCCTCTGTTCTGACGACATGGAAACACTAAACCACTCAGCTGGATACTTACTACAGGTTTTCCAACTCTCAATCTAAAATCAGGAGGTCTTTAGAGGAGAGTAACCTGACGACATTGGTTCTACTCTGAAGCAGGCGGTCTGGGAGTGGGTCATGAAGAAAGCTTTACCGCTATTCTTCCCCTTTCCTCTAAGTCAGGGCGAACTGCACAAACTGGCCTGGGACCTGTTCCAGGAGATTCTTACTTCAATTTCTTACGGTTTCTGGCCTTTCAGATGGAGGCCAAACAAAAAACCACATCATTAAGATGATTAATGTTTGCAGTGGACACCAAACCCCAGAAATTGACAGGGACAAGAAAGAGATGTTTGTGTAGGTGGCTACTTGGAATGGATTTCTGGTTTGTTTGTTTGTTTGATTGTTGTTTTATTTTTTCAAGACAGGGTTTCCCAGTATAACAGTCCTGACTGTCCTGGAACTCACTTTGTAGGCCAGGCTGGTCTCAAACTCACAGAGATCCACCTGCCTTTGCCTCCTGAGTGCTGAGATTAAAGGCATGTGCCACCATACCTGGTGATTTGTGTGGGTTTTACCCTTAACTTATCATTTAAATGTGTGCATTCTTTTTTTTTTTTTTGGTTTTTCGAGACAGGGTTTCTCTGTGTAGCTTTGCGCCTCTCCTGGAACTCACTTGGTAGCCCAGGCTGGCCTCGAACTCATAAAGATCCGCCTGGCTCTGCCTCCCGAGTGCTGGGATTAAAGGCGTGTGCCACCACCGCCCGGCTAAATGTGTGCATTCTTATGTTAGAGTCTATAAACTCTAATGCCTTACTGGACTGAAAAAAGTTACCAGATTCAAAAAAATTCCATACAGCAAACATGCCTTTATCTTTAAATGGCTGTTGTTACTTTTCAAAAGAGTTCCTAACCAATTTCCTTTCAAGTGCATTTTGGAGTAGTTTCCAATGTCTTTCCTTCAGACTAAATCTTAGAACCCAACAATACAAGATTGAAACTCCTGGACACAGGCAGCCAGAACAAGAACAACAAACAGCCAAGAAAAATGGCCTGCTTCCTTAACAGCCAGGGAGAGGCTAGCTGAAATGGCGGCCTAGCCTTTTCACCAACTGTACTGAGAAATTAGCAGGCTCTAAAGTACATACATGTGCCAGCGAAAATATGTAGAAGCATCCACCCATCTTATAGGAAAAATCCATCCACTGCTACAACTTAATAGAGCATGAGAAGGCTGTGGGAGACATTACCCAAAGAATTGGAGATAATGCATATTCTTTGTCTAGACATTTCTAGAATTAACATTAAGATGATTTGTGTGCTCAAATGCACGTATATCACTTTTTATCATGTCATCATATATTACTAAGAATCAAACCAGGTGCTGGAGAGATGACTCGGTGGTTGTGAATGTTAGCGGCTCTTCCAGAGGACCTGAATTCAGTTCCAAGTACCCATGTTGGGCAGCTCACAGCCACCTATCACTCCAGCTCCAGGGGGACTCCAGTGCCTTGCCTTCTGCAGGCACCTGCACTTATCTACACAAGCTCACATGGAGACACACATACACACACACACACACACACACACACACACACACACACACACACACACAATCAAAAGTTAGAAATAAGAGCCTAGCCAAACTACACGTTTAACAATAAGGGCCTGGTTAAATTAGTTATGGTACACCCATACACTAGACTATTTCCTAGTTAAAATTCTTAGCACACATATTATTTGTTTATAGATATTAAACATGTTTACAGTATATCATCAGCATATAAATGAACCAATTATTCTGTGAATGTATATGCATACGACAGTGCAGGCAATATATATTCCCACAGAAATCAATGACAGTTGTTGATATTTACCTCTGGGTGGTGGGCATATCCTTACTTGTGTTTTTCTGCATTTTTCAAATGTTCTATAAAGACTATATATTGTCTTCCAAATCAGAAAAGAAACAACACGGTTTCTAAAAGTGCAATTACCAAGTAGCATACTTTTTTCTGACTTGAAGATATTGCCAAACAAGGGGGAAAAAGAAAGAAAGGAAGTTTGGAGTCTGACTTTCTGAGCATTATTTGAAATAAAAATAAAAACCTTGTAGTTTTTCCTCCAAAGAAGGGCAGTTTCAAAATTAGTAACCTCCCCTCCATTTGGAGGCAAACACAAAATGCACTTAGGGAATGCGCTGCCTGCTGGAGTCCCTAGGCCAGGCAGAGTGCCGTGGTTTCTGGAATGAGCCCTCTCCAAGAGGCGGCAAGTGAGCAGGAAGTGACTGGGCTGCCTGGAGAGTCTCCCGTGAGGGAACTGGGCTCTGGCTCCCTCTCCATCAACCACCACCATTGGGGAGAGAGGGCCTGGCCATCAACCACCACCATTGGGGAGAGAGGGCCTGGCCTTCTGTTTCTTTGTGTCCTCCTTAGAGTAAGATCTGTTAGAAGAGGACAGGTGCCATGGCTTCTTCCAACTGTCCAGAGAGCGTCTCTCTCCCAGTGTCTCCCTGGGGAGACGGATAAAATAACAGACATTTCTGACACACCTGTTTGCTTCCTTAAGCTGAAACTCCTTCCTCCTGGCTAGGCCAGGGAGTTCTGTTTCCAGTTAATGTTCTTATCTTGCCTCGATGAGATGCATTTTGTCATCTTCCAAGCCTGAAGCCAGGAGCTGATCTGCCTTTCTGACGCTGAGTTCCCTGGTTCTGCTGATGCCAGGCTGAGTGGATTAGATCCTGAGAGGATGGACCTTTACCTCATCCAGTCCCCATCAGTCCATGCCCAGCCTGAGTCAGTGTGATGGGCAATTCTCTAGAACATTCATTCCAGTTCCAGAAAATACTGAATGTTGGTTAGATTCTGCTTTTGTCTTTATACTGAGTCAAAACCATCCTCACTAAAAGAGATACATGTGTGTATCTATGTATATATGTGCATGTATGTGTATCTACATGTGTATGTGTACATGTTCATGTGTACATAGTCTGTGTACCTGTGTGCATGCACAAGCATATACATGTGTGTAGAGACAAAAGAGTAAGCATTAGGTGCTTTCCTCAACCACTGCCCATCTTTTTCTTTGGGGCAGTGCCCCTCAGTAAACCTGGGGCCCACTGATTGGTTAGAGTGGCTGGAAAGCAAGCTGTAGGGATCCTCCTGTCTCTGCCTCCTCAGCAATGGAATTACAGGCATGTACCACCATGTCTGGCCTTTTCCGTGTATGCCAGAGATTTGAACCCAAGTGTTTGCACTTGGGAGGTGAGGCTTTTGTCAATGGAGCCATCTCTCCAGGTTCTCTTCCTCGTTATGACTTTTATTCATTGTTCAAAAAACAAGGAAATGTGTAAGCCCTCTGAAGGCATTGATTTGTCCCTCAGTCTTCTCCCAGATCCTGGAGACACTCATCTACATGATATCAAGAAGGAATCAAATATAGACCTGGGCATGCCACTAAATGCCTCTGCTATTTGGATGTGGGTTTTGAGGATGTTTAGATTTCTAGGTCTGCTCTAACAGTTCCCATCCTGAACATGAAGACTTCCACTCTTTCATCAGTAATGGCTCAATTCATTTTCCAAGGCAAAATAATGGGGAGAAAGACAGCCACTTATCCAAGCTGTCAAAATATTTTCATCAAGAAAGACAATTACACTTGTGTACTGGTTAATGACACCCCCAAAGTGGCATTTAATGTCTTGGGATGACACCATTAAAGTTAAGTATGAAGATCCTTTCTGTTGCAGACTGATTGAAAACTGGGGGTGCATTTATATTCTGAAGGCCAGGCTGTAGGTCAAGTCTTGGGATGGGACTGAAGGTCCACCATGAATATCTTACCCCCAGTTTGATGTGAAGGATCCCACAAAAATGATGGCTATTTCTGCTTAAAATTTGTCATATAGCCACCAATTTTCATATCTAGGAAAGTGATATTTTAACTTCCTAAATCATAATGTTTGGAATTCCACCAAAGAGAAGTGGTCAGCCCAACATGATATGTAAATCTGGTAATGGAAGTTCATGTCCATTTCATCACATACCTTGGGGCAAATGACCAGAATACCACACACAGTCTACCATTGTCAGAGGATGTTGTGGAGCCATGAAGAGAGGTGCTATAATGGAGACCCAGGATACAGAGGTGCCAAAAGTGTACTGTAGGCAGAGGGCAGCAAACAAAACCTTCTCTGGAGAGTCGCACTGTGAACTGTAACCAGTGAATTCACAGGGGCAGGGAGGCCCTTTGGGGGGGTCACTCTGCTTTGGTGTTCCCCAGATGCTAGGCAGGGAGCTTTAGGATTTGAAACTAGCCTTTCTGGGTTTTCCTCTGTCCTGGGCTGCTGTCTCCTTTCTATCACTTATCCTTCCTTTCTGGGGTAGAAATGTTTATCTGGGTCTGCCCCCATCACTGGACCTTAGAAGTACGTAACTTCGATACTGGCAAAGGCTCACATCTGAGGTTTCCTGAAGTCTTAGATGAGCCTTTGAGTTTAGATGCTTGAACAATACTGGAATAATAGTTAAGATCCCAGGGACCGTGAGAATGAAATAAATGTGTTTTGCATTGTGAGACAGACATGATGATTTGGGGACCAGAAGTAGGATGACACCAGTTGGATGAGTTTCCCGCCAAATTCCCATGTGTTAAAGGTTGCCCTCCAAGATGGCACTGTGGGGGTGGTGGCACCTTCAAGAGGAAGGGCCCAGGGTGCTCTTAAAGATGATATTGAAACCCATTTCTGAGTCACCCTCTGCTTCCTGGCTAGTGATATAAGTGATCTGCTCTGGCACACATTCTCTGCCAGGCCCAAGGCAGTGGAGCCACCCAGTCTTGAACTGGAATCTCCAGCACTGAGCCAAGTGAACCACTGTTCTTTATAAGTTAATTACCTGAGGTGTTTCATTATAGTGATAGAAAGCAACCCCTGTTGAAAGTCTGGCTAAACCTCCCCAAAAATAACTTCACAGAAGTAGTAGGGGACAAAAATAAAATAAAACCCTAAAACCCAAGTCCTGGTTTCACACTATCCATGAATCCTACTAGGGAAATACCTGATTTATGTTGTTACTATTATGTTTGTCCCCAAGTTGTGCCCAGCAGCCCTGGAGTACTTCCTAACCTACTCTGTCTCTTGAGGCATGCACTGGCTGGCCTGACCCCGATCTTCAGAGACACACAATGAACCGATTGTAGTGACTCAGACCACACATCCCTTGAAATGAACCACAGCTCCAGAACCCGAGCCCCAGCCAGGGACCCCACTCACAGCAGGCGGAAGACTCCATGTTCTTCTCCTTACAGCAGCATTTGAAGCACTTCTTCACCACCATGTAGAAGTAAGCGAAGACGACGAAGGGGAAGGGAATGTTGAGGCGGTTGCAGTACTCCTGGACCAGGAAGTACCGCTGGAACTTCCAGACCTGATCGTTGTTCTCCTGCACGGTGCCCACTGTGTAGCTGGCGGGGGAGAGGGGAGACACGGCTGAGAGATGTGCACTACCCATCACTCCATTTGCCTATGGTGGTAATGCTCCTGGGCAGCAGCCATCCATGTGGCGGCCTAGGCCAGGCAGATCAGAGGGATCCATGCCGGTACCGCAGCCAGGACAGCTTGGCACAAGCCACCTGCTGGCCTCAGTGTCGATCTGGCTTTGGTTCTCTTTTCTTTTTTTGTTTCTGATCGCACAAGAAAAATGTCCAGTGAACTTCAAAATGGTCTTGATTTCCAAACCTTTCAATGATACCCTTTGCTCATCCATCTGATATTGTGCTAGTCGCAAAGCGGCCAGGGATGCTGACTCCCTCGGGAATATTTTATCCCCCTTATGTGTCTAATTGAAACAGTCTGGAGAAAGTATTTCAGCATTTCTCAGGAGCCTCTGACAAAATGGCTGCCCCTAGGATGCCTTCCCCTAGGGTTAGGGAAGGCTGGGGAGCAAGCTTTGGCAGGAGAAGGGGAGAGGGACTCTAGGAAAGGCTGTCACCAAGGACTGTCATCGGTGAGCTACACAGATTACAGTTAGAGACGTACACAATGATATTTGGAAAGAAATGTTGAGGATTGTCCTATGGTGTGTCAGGAAGGGCAGAGCTGACTTTTTGTGAACTTCAAATGAAGGGACCCCAGGCCACTCAAGCATATGACTCTGTCAGGCCTCGCCCTTCTCCCCAATTCCCTCTGCCTTTACATTCCTAAATACAGTCCCCTAATTTTTCCTAGTAATTTCTAAACTATAGTCCGCAAGGTCCATTCCCTTTTTAGACCAATCCCTCTTCCTGAGGCTGACTACCAAAGTCAAGCAATCAAAATCCCCCTTTGACTCACCTAATTCACATGCCCAATTAAAATTAAAGACCTCATCCTAACACGGGGTTTCCCCTTCACCTTTATAAGCCACCATTTGCCTATGTGCCATGTCTGTCTCTCCTCTAGACAGAGGCTGTCCTTTGTCCTATAGACAAATATCCCTTCCCCTTCTCCCTTGTCCTCTGTCTCCTGTCTTTGTCTCTTATTCCCTGCCCTCTGTCCCTCTGGGGCAAATAAATCTCCAAGTGCTGAGAACTTGGTCTGGAGGGCCCTGGGCCGATACATTTCCTTTCAGTAAACATGTGGGGATTAACAGATGCGCAATTTCTGGAAACCAAGACGAGAAAGAGCTGTCTCTCTCCACCCAAGGAACAGCGCTGTCTCATTGACTGTGAAGATTACAAGCCAGTCTATTGGCAGTGCTCAGCTCTCTCCACCGCAGTGGGAGTTAATGGAGCTGAGAACCAGGAGGCGATTTTTTAGGTCATCCACAGTTTAGAAATTCCATACAAGGGTTTCATCTGAGCAAGCCAACTAGAGACCATGTTTCATTTGGGTAAGTATATGTTACTTTGGGTGGGGCAGTGTTCAACAGCTGCATTGTGGGAACTAACCAGGCAAGAACTCACACCCCTCTTCAAACTCTTGATAAGCCTAATGGAAGTCTCTGCCAGACACCACAGAGTTATAGGAACCGTGAGCACCATGAAATATACAACACCACAGCCCAGAAGAATCTGAAAGGCACAGTTTCTAAAAGGAAAAAAAAACATTTCCAAAGAAAAATTGTCTCTTAATGGAGACACGGGCTCTCAATTTTCTAGCCAGAAGTTTGTTTTTCCATTTCTTTGAATCTTGCTGAGCCCCAAGAAACTCGCTCTGATCTCTGCTTCTTTTCCCGTATTGAATTCAGCAATAGCAGGATAGTGGTGGGGAGAGGATGTGGTAACTGATTACTAGCTTAGAACATGTTTAGCTCGACTTAAAAGTTTTTCGTTTTGTTTTTGTTTTTGTTTTTTTAAGGAGCCTTAAAAAGATTCATCAGTTTGACCCACTGACTTCACTCCTGGGAGTTCAAGCTAGGGATAAGGAGAGAATTATAAAACTATACAGACATGGACGCATGCACGTGGCTCCTCACATGCTGCAGATGAGAGACACCTGTGCCCCTTACCTAAGTGAAAAGAACCATCTCTACATTCAACACCCAGAACGGGCCTCCTGGTAATGGATGATAAGTGTGATTTCATTATGCAACCACTGAATCAGGTTTATAAATAATTTTTGTACTTTGGAAAAATTTGATATGTTAAGTGGAAATAACGAGGCTCGAACTCGTACTTTGGGCACAGTGTCACCACATAACTCATGACTCCAGGGAGAAGTGGATCTGTCACTGGCAGTGGCATCTCCAGTATCACAGCTGGGCTTGCTTCTCCTGCCCTTCCACTTTCCAAGCACCATGTAAGAAGTCTGAGTGCTGCACATAATTACTAAAATGTCAATTTTACGTTCTACCCATAACTCTTTATGGTAAGTTACCAAAACACCAAAGCTATAAAATAGAAAACACTTTCAATATGCAAGGCACTGATTTTTTTCATCTGAATCTCCTCTATTCCAAGCACCTCCAGCTCACTACAAGCTGAGGATGATCTTGAACTATTCCCTCTCCTGCCTCCATCTCTCAGGAATGGATTGCCGGCATAAGCCACAAACACCTGGCTTACGTGGTGCTTCAGATCCAGCACGGGGCTTCATACACGCTAGGCAAGCCCTCTACCATCTGGGCTACATCCCCAGTCCCTACAGGACGCTATTCCAGGCAGCCCATTTATGCTGATTAATTTAATATGAAAATAACTCTGTAAGTCCTGTTATCATCAATGATAAACAGATTGGGAAACTGAGGCACAGAAAGGGTAGGCAAATTGAAGTGTTAAAGCTGGGATTTGGTCTAGCAATCTATCCCCACATTAGTAGAGCAAAATGTGTGGTGTTATGATAGTTCCACTCCGTTTCCAAGGAGTTTAACTGGATGACTTGTCATTTTGGGTTAACTACAAAGTATTTGGCAATTTGGGCAGTGTGCATTTTGAACACACTGAAGTCTTTAAAGGTTAGAAACCCATGCTTATTGAATGCCCACACGTATAAGCTCCTGTGAGGTAGCCCAGTGGCTGCCCAATTGACCCTTTCATCTACTTTTCATAGAACTTTTAGGTACAAAGCAAACAGGACTGTGGATCCAGAAAATGGATCTCATAGCTCGTCTGGCACTTCTTCCCAGTATAGGTCATGCTGCTGGGAGGCTAATGCTCTACCTGCCGTCGTTACTGTCTTCCCTGTCCTCAGCTGGTTTTGCCATTTACAAAGAACACGGACCTCATCTGCCACAGCAGTGGCTCAGAACTACAGAAGCACCCCAGATTAGTGACACTCGGGCTAAGAACCTTCCAGAAGTCACAGCTCTCTGCCTTCTGCCAGAACAACTATCTTTACTCCAGTCATTAATTCTAAGAGCGTCTTACAATTTCACACACCTATTCCAAAATGGACACTGACTGCTCAAAACTCCAAACCCCAGACAAGAGCAACTGCATCCACTTTGATGCATCAAATATGGTTTCCCGATGTTTTATACAAGAGACATTGCTGTCGGATGGAGGGGGAGCGTTATATCCAATGCTGGCAGCAAGTAAGGAAGCTCGAGTGCCTCCCTCCTGTCCTCACTCTGCGAGTTCAGAGGGAACTCCGATGAAAGCCCCACGGGGGACGAGGTCTGTGCCACGGCTGAACTGGCCATTCAGACTCAACGAGACACATTTCGTGTTTTCCAGATCACATAGGGCAGGACCTGACAGACGAGGCCATTTGCAGTCCTTCATTTGTTTCTGCACAGCCCAGAGAAAGACTAGGAACAGCAGAGAGGTCCAGACCGGGACAAGGCCGTGGAGCATCACTTTTTTATGTCCATTTGGCCCAAGGCCCTTGTGAAGACAGCCTGCAGTCCCTACCTCTGAGGCACATGGGCAGGGCCTGTGAATCACAGCTTTGCCTTTGCGCTATCATTCTCCACCTCAAAGAGCCCGTGTGTCACTGTCTTATTTCTTCCTCTGGAGCACCAAACTTCCAGGCCCTTCCTGTCAGACCAGCAATTTCCTCTGCACCTCATGGGCAAGATGACCCCCGGGAGCAGCACTCCTGAGAAATGGTGAAAACCTGGATTCACCTCCCATGAGGCTTGAAGGAGCTAGATGAGCACCTAAAAGCCAAGGTCCATGACACCAGCTTCCAGATTGTTCTTTTTCTTTTAAATCAGCTCCAGATTCAGTCAAATAGACATGGGAGTCTTTCTTTGGAGGCTGATAATAAAGCATCAAATTGCTTTACCGAGATAATTTTTGTATTATTTACATGTATTCATGAGCGTGTGTGTGTGTGTGTGTGTGTGTGTGTGTGTGTGTGTGTGTGTGTTTATATAAAACATAGATCAAGCTCAGGTGTTGTTCCTTGGGTACTGTCAACCTTTTCTTTTGTTAAGACAGTTACTTTGACTGACCTGCAACTCACAAGGTTGACTGAGTAGCCAAGCCCGGGGATCTGCATGGGACTGACAAGTGTGCTGTCATGGCTGACTTTTAATGTAGGCTCCGGAGCTCGAACTCAGGTCTTCAGGCTTGCAGAGCAGGCACTTTACCATGTGAGCGACCACCACAGCTCTCTGATTTTTTTGTAGTCTTTAGAAGTTGGTTTTAACTTCTGTAGAGAAGAGGCTAGGTTCTGCAAAGAAAGGCCCTCTATGACTTATGTGTGGAAATGCCTCTCAGTGACACAGGCATCAGAGTGTCTTGGGGTTAGCCTCACCCACACCAACGCAAGACAATGTTCAGTGTCTTCCAGGGGATCACTGGCCATCTGCATCTTCCTCAAGAAACCCTAAAACCTGCCCCTCCACACCACCTCTCCAAGTCCCTGTTAGGAAGGTATTGTCCCTGTCAATATCTCCATGGGCTCCTGGAGGGTAGTGGCAGTGAAGGTCATCTCAGGACCAACTGAGTACCGTCTGTGGAGCATGACAGGGGAGAGGAGAAGCAGAAGCCCCTTGGAGGGAGAAACTCGCTGAGATCAGAGATGTTGCTAGCCTTCA